TGGCGGTGGAAGGGGTGGATAGTAAGGTGGAAATATGCGTCCTGGAGGTCGAGGGTGGCCATCCAGACGTGTTTCCGAAGCAACGGCATGATCTGTTGTAGGGATACCATGCGGGAGCAGTGGTAGGTCACAAAATGGTTCAGTTCCCTTAGATCTAATATGGGTCGAATGCCTCCATCTCTCTTCGGGACTGTGAAGTATCAGGAATAAACTCCCGTCCCTTGGAGGTGTGGTGGTACCTGTTCGATGGCTCCCTTCTGCAGAAGGACGGACACCTCCTCGAGGAGAGGTGGGGATGGGGGCGTGGAGACGACGACAGGAGTATTGGGGTTCTGGTGGAACTGAATTTTGTAACCTCGGGCCAAGTTGGACAGCACCCACTCGTCCGAGGTGATGAGACGCCAGGCGTGAAGAAAGGGAAACAGACGGGTAGGAGCTGACTCAGTGACAGGGAAGTCAAAAACCCTGCTTGGAGGGTTTGGACTGTTTGGTTGTTGGAACGGAATTTTGTAGCCTCGGGTTAAGATGGACAGCACCCACTCGTCCGAGGTGATGAGACGCCAGGCGTGAAGAAAGGGAAACAGACGGGTAGGAGCTGACTCAGTGACAGGGAAGTCAAAAACCCTGCTTGGAGGGTTTGGACTGTTTGGTGCGGGAAGCTTGCTGCCCTGAACCGAATTTTGGTTTCTGAAAAGCAGGTCTTTGGCCTCCCGAAGACGCTCGTGGTCTCCATCGTGTGTCTGGAGACTGATGAGTTGGTGTACGCCTCTGCCAGGACCTCGACCAGGTGCGGGAACGGTATTGTTGTTTTGCAGAGGACGAGACTCCTAGAGCTTGAGAAGCTTTTATGCTTTTGTCTAACTCTTGCAGAGTAGTATCTGTGGTAGCATTGAAAAGCCCCAGGCCATCGAAAGGGAGATCTTCTACATAAGATATAGTATCTATCGGGAGATTAGTGTTGCGGAGCCAGGAATGTCTTCTGAGAGCTATTGCAGAAGCCATTGTTACAGTTAACCCTCCCCATGGCAACCTAAAATGTCCCAAAGTCGTCACACCCACAGAAATGCTGCACTGGATCTTACCTGGTGTATGAATTTTTTTTGTTGTTAGAAAATATGTACACCACCCTGAATGCCTCTGAAGTAAACTGGATAGATTGATGAAAGATTCCTTTCTTCATGAATATGTCTCCTTAATAAAATCTGTTCTACGATTCGTACAGAGGGGGGAAAGCCATCTAACAGTTTGTGGGATTGAAGCTTACTAGTTTTGATTGGAAGTTACTACTGAGAAATGCAAACAGAAAATGTTCCCCATTGTACATTCGTTTGTCCTTTCCAAACTCTTTTACTCTTTCTAAACATTTTTATTTCCTAATGCATAAATACAGAAGAATTTTCACATTGGCACAATGCCTCCTGACACTGGAAATGGGAGGACGGTAGTTTAAACTACCAGTTATTAATTGCTTACGTAAATGTGATATCAGGTAGAGCCAATATTTCATGTAATGTTATATTGCCCTCTGTACAATAAACTGAGAAATACATCATCCCTTGGATAAGGAATTTAAATGAAACATCTGACATCCAAAGGATACAATACATTTTCTTTTAAATGGCTCAAATTGCCAAAGGGTGGGGGGGAGTGCATTCTTCAGGGGAGAAAGCGTTTCCCATAACTACCACTTTGGCTCAGCTACTGAAATTATGAAAGGGAAAACATCTTTCACCTCCCCACTGGACTTTTGCAGGCCCGCAGCATCAGCAACAGTGCTGCCTGTTAGCTGGGAAGATTAAAACAACTGCCAGCACAATCCTATGTAGGGTTACTCCAGTCTAAAGTCCAGCAATTTCACTGCACTTAGACTGCAGTAACACCACAAAGGATTAGACTGTGTGAGATACTTATTTTTAAATGACTCCTTTAAAGATACTGGAACCAACCCTGCTAATGACTCAAAACCACAAGTGCTGCGGCTAAAATTTCCAAAGCCCGAACTGGGAATACACTGACAGAATTATGTGGTTTAGTTATTCTGCCCTGTTCTGTCTCTCTTGCTTCGGAGAAGACGGGAGAAATGCTGGGATATGGCAGCGGTTTTTTGTTTTTGTTTTTTTTAAGCAGCAGCAACCTGGATGTGTCAACATGATAAAATGGTAAGTTTTCATCTTGTTATTTTGCTCCCAGACTATACTTTACAGAAGAGTTTGACTTAATCTCATGCTTGCAATTGTATATGACAAATGGCTATAAAGGGATCATTTGTAAATCTTCTTAAGTAGCGAGAGCTTTCCCCCCAAAACGACATACCTGCCAGGGAAAGGATGCTGGCCGACGAGGTCTCCATTCTGAAGGTGGTAATCACCGAAGAAATCAGGACTGGCTGCTCCATCGTGTGCAATTAACCCATCTATGGGGAAAAGGGGAAAGGCTGAATATGATGTTTTTGAACAAGACACAAGCTCAGTGGGATGAAGAGCCTCGACTGGCTCTCTGCTGGCTCTGCTGAGGGAGAGAGGCCAAGTGGCTCGGCCCGTCCACCATTTCGACACAAAGTAATGCTACTATTAGGGGTGTACGGCTCACTGACCTGGACGGCCCAGGCTAGCCTGATCTTGACCAATCTCAGAAGCTCAGCAGGGTCAGCCCTGCTCAGTATTGGATGGGCGACCACCAAGGAAGTCCAGAGTTGCTATGCTGAGGCAGGCAACGGCAGACCACCTCTGAACATCCCTTGCCTTGAAAACCCTACAGGGGGGTTGCCGTAAGCCAGCTGCAGTTTGACAGCAAAAAAAAAGAAAAAAAGACCCACTAGGTCTGCACTTCTATACTATTTGTTCTCTATGAGCGAAAGCAATACATTTGATCCAACACAGCAATGAATGTTAGAATTCCAGCATTCTACCCATAAACCACTTTAACAAATCTGCTCAGTGCTAATGGCATCAGTTTGCTGGAATTCGGTGAAGCCATACCAGGGTGGACCCCAACCCTATCCTACCAAACATTATTTGATCCAAAGAACCTGGGTGTCTCCCGGGACTTTCATCCTGCTGCGGCCCAAAAACCTCGTAAAAAGCCACCTCTAGGGATCGGGGGACCCTTAAAAGCAGCGCAGGCCGCAACATAACGTTGCTGAAACCCCATTCTTGATGAGAACATGGCATGCAAATAAAAATAACCACAGAGTTGTCTTTGATTATACAGTGGGACCTCTCTGGCCAACAGATCCAGCCGGTTTGGTGTAGTGGTTAAGTGCGTGGACTCTAATCTGGGAGAACTGGGTTTGATTCTCTCAGAGCTCGCTCAGCCCCACCTACCTCACGGGGTGTCTATTGTGGGGACGGGAAGGGAGAGGGGATTGTAAGCCGCTCTGAGACTCCTTTGGGTAGTGAAGAGCGGGGTATAAATCCAATCTCCTCCTCCTCCTCCTCTTCTCCTTCTTCTTCATTTTTTGTTTCCTCATTTGCCCCAATATTAACATTTCCATATCGACAATACATTTGTAACATTTCAGCAGCAGAAGGTTGTTACTACTTAAGCATCTTATTGGCAACTAACATAAATGAACAGGGTGCTCACAAGGTGTTACTTGGAGGCACGCAAGTGCTCAGGCATATGTCTTTCCAAATGTGCCTGAGACGTAATGGCCATACTCCGCTTCCTTAGGTTTATACTTGACCACTGGGCTGGGCTATTGAACGCCCTGCACACAGCTGTCTTTAATTTAATGGGAACAAGCTTTTCATCTGGTAAGCTACATGGTAGGAGGAGGGAAGGTGCCATGGTCTTGACCAGTGTCCCCCTCTAAGCTGAGTTAGTGTGAGCTAGCTCACAGTTTTTAAGCCTCCGCATCACACAGATTTTTGTCTGCACTCAGGAAGGGATGGCTCCAGAGCAAACTAGCTTATGCAGCGGCCAAATCGTTTGCTCACAACCTTAATGCCAGTAGCTCACAAAGTAGAATTTTTGCTCACAAGACTGCACAACTTAGAGGGAGCGTTGGTCTTGACCTATTTTACCAGATAGCAGAGGCTAAGTAGGGTCGGTACTAGTATGGGAGCCCACCAAGGCTCTGCAGAGGAGGACAATGGCAAACCACCCCAGCTTCTCACTTGCCTTGAAAGCCTCTTGCTGGGATTGCCATAATTTAGTATGACTGGCACAGCGGTAGAGCATCTTCTTGGCACGTAGAAAGTCCCAGGTTCTGCCCTTGGAATCTCCGGTTACAGAGGACCAGGCAGTAGGTGACGTGAAAGGCCTCCACCTGAGACCCTGGAGAGCTCCTGCCAGTCTTGACTATTCCGCACTGGCTTTGAGGGTTCAATGGTCTGATGCAGGTGAAGGCCACATCACGCGATTAGAGGAGGAAGCGTAGAAGCCTGCTATTATCCCTTCTGCACCGTCTATGCAGTTTAGCTGATGGTGGACAGCTGTAGTGAATTCATACCCCAACCCAACTTGAGCCAGGAATTTCTGTCAGGTGTCCCTTTTTAACTAATTGATCAACACTAGACTCATTTCATGTCTATAATGTACTTAAGCTTTTAAAGATGGTTATAATTCATACGCGGAAATTCCAGTTCGGTGCAGATTTACGAAAGCCTCCTAAATGAGGCAAGCTTCACGCGCCTTTCTGAAAGTCTGTCTCCTCCGTCAAAGACGGCTAGTCAGAGCCACAGCCTTCTTTGCCCACTGCCGGTCTCCGTCTCTTCCTGTAGCCGTTTGAGCACTGATGCATGATCGATTTGGGTGGTTCTTCGGTAGACGCTTGTCAGATTACTGGCCTTGATCTTCCCTTTCGTGCTGACAGTTTATTTAGGAATTTCTCAAATTGTTTCTAACTTACTGTCACGGCTCAGGTGGGGTGTCTCCTGACGCTGCCACCACTCTGGAGTTAGGATCCCTTGAGAAGGCCCAGAGCACCCTCCCAAGACCTTCAGACCTCCCTTTAGGCCGAATAACAGGCGTGAGGACCAGGCAGAGTAAAACAAGGAAAAGGTTTATTTTATAGGAGGTCAAACAACAAGGTGCAGAATAATAACAGTAAGTGGGTGAAAAGAAAAGAAATCAAATGCCCTAACACGTCTGAATATACTGTCCCTAGCTCACCATCTCAAGTGGCCTTACACTACTCACCCCTCTCTCAGGATGAGGGTTTTCCCCCTGCAGCAGCCTTTCTGCCCTCTGGAAGAAAGAACAGCTCTTCCTGCTGCTCCAGAACTTTTATTCCAATCCCTCCTCTTTTCCTATTGGTCCATTTTGGCTCCAAAACCTCCCAGGGGCCTCACCTACTGCTAGCCAGGCTCTCTGGGCCTAGTAGGCCTCTGGTGGCACAGCCCAGATCATGACACCCATATAGGGTTGCCAAGTCGTTGCAGTCGCCGCAGCGGGGGACTCCCGGGCAGCGACTGGAGCGCGCGCGCACACGTCACCCGGAAGTGACGTTAGGACGCCGGGCATGCTGGGGGTGGGGCCACGACCCTCAGAGGGAAAACCATAGGGAAGAAACTTCCCTCATCTGTAGACTTATTTTCGCTTGGAAGTTTAAAAAAAATCATTTCAGATACAAAGAACTGTGCTTCTCTTCAAAACTAAGGAAGTCCCTCTGTTGCTCCTGAGCCAGAAACAGCTTTTAAGGAAATTTGGAGTTTTCCCAACTAGAGTGTTTCAAAATCATATTGTCTCTCCCCTCCTTCCAAACTTCTCCTATAGGTTTGGCATGCCAGAGCCGGATGGAAAGACGGCTCTGGCAAAGGCATCATTGTCTGAGTCCTTCATGAAAACAGCCTCAACTATGAGGTCGGAACAAACATCTATTCCACTAACGAGGGCCCCTTGCCTAGAAAATTCTGTGGAAAAGGGGGCTATTGACATCTTTCACCGGCCATTCAAAGGAAGATCAATCAGAGATTGTGGCCAGGCTAGAAAAGCTCATATGTCAACTTCAAGGTCTGTCTAAGCAAGCCGACTTTCCTGAGGTAACCACATCGGGCAAGACCGACCTAAGAGGTCTGGAGGAGCCTTCCTTCAATGTTATGGAACAGAGCACATCACGAGGACAGGAAGAGATGTCCTCATCAGTTGCTGACCTCCCCTACCCATCGGATATACCAAGTGATGGGGGAGGCGGGATCTCTAAGCCTACTCACCTGACAGTATCACCGAGACTTTTGACACAAATGCCTGATAATCAAACATCTGAACCTCCACTCTCATCAGCATCCTTGGTCTCTAACAATAGACTTCTTCAAAGAGCATTAAATGGATTTGTATTTGATGATATGGGGAAAATTCTCGACAATATTGATTCTCGACAATATTGAAACAGAGGATGGACAATTATCGACACACCCACTTAGAATAATCTCTTGGAATGTTGCAGGGTGGTTTCGTTGTTTAACTAATTCGCCAGATAACTCTTTCCTTCATCAGAAATGTGATATCTTAGCAATTCAAGAGATATGGCTGGACCAAGAAATTACCCTACAAGGTTATAATACTCACCTACTGAAAGCTAAAGGAAGAAAGGGCCCGGGAAGGATGAAAGGTGGTCTGGCAATACTAATTTCAGCCTCTCTGGAGCTTAAATGTATAGAGAAATACACACACACACCCATTCAAGAGCAACGGCAATAGTACTGCATAGTAAAACAAATAGTCTGATTAAATGTCTATATCCCCCCCCTTTTAAAAGTCCAATTAGCTGAAGCTTGGAGACACCTGGAGAGCTATATAGTAAACTTAACTGCGGAGCATCCAGAGGCCAACGTTTTACTTATTGGAGATTTTAATGCTCGCCTTGGCCCAGATGCTGCAATCCTAGAACTTAAGGAATTTTTAGTGATTCGTATGATTCTTATAAAATTTCTCTTCTTCCTAGGTGTTTTAAGGATTCCACTTCAAATGTCCCAGGTTTATATCTAGCCAAAATGGCCAACAAGTTGGGTCTGTACATTTTAAATGGTACTTTCTTAGAAGATTCTGGCTGAATTTACCTATATGTCAGGTCAGAGACTTAGTACTACTGATTATATGTTAGCATGTGCTTCTTTATTACCTCTGTTAACTAACTTTAAAGTGCTTCCTATTTTTGATAGTGACCACTTCCCTCTTTTTGCCCAACTTAAGTTTCCTTCATCACGTCAAGCTCCTTCCCTTCACCCTTTGCATGAAGGTTCCCTGGTATTAGGTTGTAGATTGAGATGGTCTCCCCAGATGCAACCAAAATGCAGAGAAGTAATTGAGGTTAAAGGTTCCCAAATTAAAAAAATTATTTGTTAAGAAGCTAACACAGAGAATGACCTCCTTACGTGTTATAATAGACTTGTGCAGGAATTTAAAACTATTCTATATGAACCTAAAGGCCAACCCACAACACCCCACAGGAAATCTAAACCCTGGTTTGATGTGGATTGCCAAAAAGCAAGAATAACTGGGGTGAGGTAATCTGGGAAAGGTAAGCAGCAGGCTGTTCATATTCTGGAAAGATACAAAATGCTAAAGGGGAACAGGTTTTGTGTTCAAGAGAACAGATAGTCTGTTTCTCGATATTTAGGATCCTCTGTTTCAAAATTCTAAATGCCTGCATTTCATTTAACATGCAGAGGCTGTCCAAAGAGACACCTATAGAATGAATTTTCTTCTGGATCTGACAGTACCAGTTGGAAACAAAAGAATCAGCTAGCATCATATGGATATAGCTAGCAGGTTCTGCTCTAAAGTGTAGGCGTAGCCAAAACTTTAGGGTTAATAGCCATGCCCTAGTATCAATCAGATGCATTCCAGACTAAGCACATTGTAGCATAGCTGACACAGTTGGGGACCCCCAAAATACAGCGTAAGAACGTTGCTTGGATTTGCTCAAGCTGGGTATTGAAGGTGCTTACAAAATGGGTCTAGATAATGCAGCTCCCCTAACACTGCCTGAAGCAGTGTAGGCACCACCCACTGAAGCACCTTGCCCAAGAATGGAATATTAGCTACTGGACAGTAGTCAGTCCGTCACCTTTATTCAAGAGAAGAGCCCGCAAACTATCGACCTGTTAGCCTCTTAAATATATGTAGCAAATTATATGCTAAACATCTTCTGGTAAAGCTTGAAGACTGGCTGATTCAAGAAAATGTGATTGCGAAAGAGCAAGTTGGTTTTAGAAAGTATAGATCCACCCTGGACCATTGTCTTACTAGTCAACATCTTATAGAAAAATACGCTTACATCCACCAAAACTTCAACAACAACATGCTCCTATCTTATTGTATGCAGATAACGCTGTCATCTTAGCGAGAACACCAGTTGGCCTTAGGAGAGCTCTCGGTAAGTTTGCAGACTTCTGTAATAACAAGGAATTAATAATAACTTTTCAAAAGACCAAGGTTATGGCCTTTAAAGGTAAAGGTTCCCTTGCACGAAAGCCAGTCGTATCCGACTCTAGGGTTGCGGGGCTCATCTCCGTTACAAAGCCGAAGAGCCAGCGCTGTCCGCAGACGTTTCCGTGGTCATGTGGCCGGCATGACTAAACACCAAGGCGCATGGAACGCTGTTACCTTCCCACTGAAGTGGTACCTATTTATCTACTTGCAATGTCTTGCTTTCGAACTGCTAGGTTGGCAGGAG